TATTCTGGATGTCAAAGCAGCTAAGCTTAAAATCAAGAATCACCCACCCAGCAAAACTGAGTATAATCCTTCAGGGGAAAAAAATAGACATTCAATGAAGTAGAAGACTTTCAAGCATTCTTGATGAAATGACCAGAGCTGAATAGAAAATCTGACTTTCAAATACAAGACTGAAGAGAAGCATGAAAAGGTTAACAGGAAAGAGAAATCATAAGGGACTTATTAAAGTTGAACTGTTTACATTCCTAAATGGAAAGATGATATTTGTAATTAATAGACCTTTCTCACTATTACAGTAGTTGAAAGGAATACATATACAGATAGAGGGCACAGGGTGAATTGAATATGGATGATATCTAAAAAATAAAATTAAGGGGTGAGAGAGGATTGTACTGGGAGAAAGAGAAAGGGAGAGATAGAATGGGGTAAATTATCTCATATAAAAGAGGCAGAAAAAGCTTTTACAGTGCAGGAAAAGAGGTGGGAGGTGAGAGGGAACAAGTGAATCTTACTCTGATTTGGATGTGGAAATGTATCTTATCCTACAGGAAAATAGAGGGGAAGGGGATAAAAATAGGGGATGATAGAAGGGAAGACAAATTGGGGGAGAGGGTAATCAGAAGCAAATACTTTTTTTTTTAAGGCAATTGCGGTTAATTGACTTGCCCAGGGTCACACAGCTAGTAAGTGTCAAGTGTTAGGTCTGAGGCCGGATTTGAACTCAGGTCCTCCTGACTTCAGGGCCAGTGGTCTATCCACTGCGCCACCTAGCTGCCCCTGAAAGCAAATACTTTTGAGGAGGGAGAGGGTCAAAGGAGAGAACAGAAAAAAGGGGAGTGGGACAGGATATAGGGAAATATAGTTAGTCTTTCACAATATCACTATTACTGGTATTTTGTATGACTACACGTATAACCTACATCGAATTCCTTGCCTTCTCAATGAGGGTGGTGGAGAGGAAGGGAGAGAATTTGGAACTCAAAGTTTTAAAAACAAATGTTAAAAATTGTTTTTACATCCAACTGAGAAATAAGATATACAGGCAATGGGGTATAGAAATCTACCCTGCCTTACAGGAAAATAGAAGGGGAAAGGGATAAGAGAAGGGGAGGGGGGGAGGTGATAGAAGGGAAGGCAGACTGGGGGCAGACTCAAAATGCACACCCTCTTGAGGTGGGGAGAGAGAAAAGATGGGGAGAAAATTTGGGACTCAAACTTGTGGAACTGAATGTTGAAAACTAAAAATAATCAATAAAAAAAAGAATGAAAACCTAAAAAAGAATGTAAGTTCCTTAAGGCCAAGGATTGTATTTCTTTTTACTTGTATTTATATTCCTAATGTTTAATATAATGCTTGGCACATAGGAAGTATTTAATAAATGCTTGTTAACTGACCAAAAAAAAATCACTTTTGATTAGAGAAATGCAAATTAAAACAACTCTGAGATACCACCTCACACCTATCAGATTGGCTAATATAACAAAAAAGAAAAACGATAAATGTTGGAGAGGATGTAGGAAAATTGAGACACTGATGCACTAATGATGGAGTTGTGAACTGATCCAGTCATTATGTAGAACAATTTGGAACTATGCCTAAAGAGCAACCAAACTGTGCATACCTTTTGATCTAGAAACACCACTACTAGGTCTGTACACCAAAGAGATCATGAAAAAGGAAAAAGGACCTATATAAGCAAAACTATTTCCTTTTTTGTGGTGCCAATATATTAGAAATTGAAGGGATGCCCACCAATTGGGGAATGGCTGAACAAGCTGTGGTATATGAATATAATGGAATGCTATTGTGCAATAAAAAATAATGAACAGGCAGATTTCAGAAAATCCTGGAAAGACTCATACTGATGCAAAGTGAAATGAAGAAAACATTGTACACAGTATCAGCAACATTATGGGATGATCAACTATGAATGACTCAGCTTTTCTCAGCAACACAGTGATCTAAGACAAGTACAAAGGACTTGTGGAGGAAAATGTTATCCATATCCAGATAAAGAACTCATAGACTCTGAATGCAGATTGAAGAACTTTTTTTCACTTACTTTATTCTTTCCTGTGGTTTTTTTAAATCTGTTTCTTCTTTCACAACTGTTACTAATATGGAAATATGTTTTTACATGATAGCACATGTATAAATTATATCAAATTGCCTACCATGTTCAGAAGAGGGAAGGGGAGGGAGGGAAGGAGGGAAGGAGAAAAATTTGGAACTCAAAATCTTGTAAAAAATGAATGCTAAAAATTTTCTTGACATGTAACTGGGGAAAAAAAATACTATTGAGATAAATAAATAAAAAGAAAGCAAAATGCAAACTGTCTACATTTCCTAGAACTAGAACAACGTGAAAACAGAAAGAATCCACTCATTCCCTTCTGAAAGAAACTCCAAAATGAAAACTCCCAGGAATGTTACAGTAAAATCCAAAATTTCCATGTCAAAGGATAAAATATTACAAGCAACCAAAGAGAAAGAATTCACATAAAAAAAAAAAAAGAAAGGAGAGACACCGTCAAGGCCACATCGGATTTGGCAGCTGAAATTAAAAAGGAAAATAAAGCTTGGAACAAAATATTCAAAAAGGCAGGAGATAAAGATTCATCTTTATCTTTTGGAAAAGCCTTTAAAAGGTCATGCAGTAAAACTCAGTAAAATCCTACAGAGAAGAGAAGCAGACTTAATAAAATAGGATTTCTAAGAATTCCTGATGAAAATATCAGAACTAAGAAGATACTTTCAAATGGCAATGCAGGAGTCAAATGAAACATAGAAAGGTACATAATTGGAAGGTACTATGTTAAGATGAATAGTTGACATGCTAAAATATGTGTCTTCTCATACCCGTAATATGTTCATAAGTCATAGAAAAAATTTTAAAAGATGGACAAAGGGAATGGGGGTTGTTTTCTTCTGTTCTGATGGTCTTAGAAGAAAAAGGAAGCAGGAAGGATAGGGAACTATTCTGGGGAGAAAAGGAGCAGTAAGGGCCAAGAAAAATACATAATGACTACAATAATATAAATTTAAAAAAAACAACCACCACAAAAGAATCAAAAGTGAATGCTGAAAAACAAAAAGCAAGTATGGCCCCAAAGAAGAGATATGAAAAGACACCTCCTCACTACTCCTTACTGAAGTGGGAGGTCCAAAGGTATGGAACACTGCATATATTTTAAGACTTTTTCAATGCATTGATCAGTTTTGCTGATTCTTTTTTCTCCTTCCTATTTTTCTTTTTCTTAAAAAAAAGTCTTTGTTACATAATATGGTTCTCTGGAAGGGGTTAGAGGAAGGGACAGTAGAAGAAATTTAAGCAACATAAAAACAAAAACATATCAATAAAATGTATGTCTTTTAATAAAAATTTCCAAATATGTATACATACACACACACACACACACACACACACACACACACACACACCCCTAAAAGAATAGTAAGTTTCATTCATTCACTCACTATGGTAAACTAGTACTAGAAATTCTGGGCAAGGGTGATAGAATTGGTAAGTACCATGATGATGTGGCACCTGAAATTTGTCTAGCCCTGGTATATGTTATAATAAAAATTTGTTTATACATAGGGTATCAGTATTTCATCGATTATTGTTTCACAGTTCATGGGAGTGACCTAATATTAGAGCTTAAAGTGAGCTCCAGAATTATCTAGTCCACTACCTCCTTCATTTTATAAATAAGGAAATCCAGGCTTAGAAGTTAAATGACTTGCCCAAGGTCATTGTTAGTAAACTGAAAGGCCAGAACTCAGACTAACATTTCTTGATTCCATATCCAGCATTCTTTTCACTGAAATATAATGTCTCTATATCAGCCTTGAGCACTACTCTCTATGAAAAAGGAAGAAGAAAGATCTAGCTACAGGCCACCAGACCTTCTACCTAACCCTTGGCCCGATGTGCTCAGTCTTTTCACCTTTCCAGCTTTTTCTTAGGGCTTTTCTTCAATAACCCTAAATTGGGTCCCAAACTGGATCTTGAATAAATGTCCTATGCTACATCTTTTTTGTTCCTCTTATTTTTATTTCCTTGAGAGCTTAAAATGTCACCTACCTCCTAAATATTTGGGCTGGTTTGTAAACAAATTTGTCAGGCTTTGGCCTACAAAGCAAGAATTTCAAATATAGCACCAATATACATTTTTTAAAATGGGCACTGCCTATTTATGAAATAGGACTCATTTATTTATAAAAGAACATGACCATAAAAATATATCATGATGTTTAGGGATTTTAATTGTTCTTCATAAAATGTATAATTATCAGCACAAAATAATTGCCTTTGAAAATTTAATCTTTTGTCCTCTTCTGTAAGTGTTGAGCAATATCATCAATGGCTTGTTCAATTGTTCAGTTGTGTCTGACTCTTTATGACCTCATGAGGTCAAACACTCAGTCAGTTTTTCCCTAATGTTTAACGTGTAATTGGAAAATATTTAACAAAATAAATAAAAACACAATCGAAAATAATGTTAAAATACGGTTTTCTAAAGCAATATGTGGTCCCAGGTATCTTTATGTAAACTTCAATGGTCCCCGTTTTTCTTTGAATTTGACATTATTGGTGTAGTGGATAGTGGGACCTTACAGTTAGGAAGACCTGGATTAAAGTCAAATCTTCCACAAATACTTGATTGCTATCCCAGGCAAATCACCTAACACCTCAGTGCCCCAAGTAAACATGTTATGATTAAAGTTGCCAAGCGCATACTGATCTGCTTTGGGGGTTGACCTGAGGTGGAAGAATTGAGGGTAAAGAAGGGTTCTTCACTGGATTTCCCCATACCGATGAAATCAAAGGTCTAGTAGAAAAAGTTAAATAAAATTGTATAGTTATGCTTTACTATGAGCAACTGTTAATGTGTGATGCTATCATCTAAATGTTACAATACACGCCTTAAGTATATAACAACTAAATGCTGAATTGAATCAGACAGAATGTTTGGTGGTTTAGCAAGATACTAACCTTAGAAGATTTCCTTCGGCTTCTTCTTGTCCAAACAACTACCAGTTTATCTGGCTGCCTATTAGAAAAAAGAACACACACAAGAAACAGGTTTTAAAATAATGTAAGTAACACTTCAACAAAGCATAAACAACTGTCTGAAACACAAACTACCTTAAAAGAGGAAAAAATGTCTTTAACTTCAAAAAAATCAAAAAGCATTTATTAAATACTTACTATGTGGCAGGTATGGTGCTAATTATTAAAGAAACAGGGAGAAAGAAAGAGAGAGAGAGAGAGAAAGAGACAGAGAAATAAAGAAACAAACCATTTTTAAGTGCTTACCATATGCCAGGTAATGGGGATACGATTACAACCATGCAAGAATCATCTCTCTACCTCCCAAGAAACTTACATTGTAATAAGGGAAAAACAACACATAAAGGGGAGTTGGAAGAAAGAGGGCCATGCAAGGTGTGGCGATCATCTTAAAAGATGTCTAGAAGACAGACTGGAGTGGAAAAAATATTGAGGCAGGGAGATCAGTTAGAAGGATATTGCATCAGTCCAGGAAAGAAGTGCCGAGGGCCTGAAATAGGGTGGTAGCTGTGAGGATGGGAAGGAGATGTATGTAAGAGATGTGGCATAGAAAGAAATAATGAGATTTGTCAGATATATGGGATGAGCGAGAACAAAGAGTTGAGGACGTAACTATGATGAACCTAGTTGTCTGGAAAGATGGTGGTATTCTCAAAAATAATGGGGAACTTCAGAAGAGGGTTGGCATTAGGATAAAAGACAATGAGTTCCTCCCTTGATAAAAGCTGCTAGGAAAACTGAAAAGCAATTTGGCAGAAATTAGGCTTACATCATATTCTGTAATACATTCTAAATGGATACATGACCTTCATATTAAAGATCAGAGTACTAAAAAAAATTAGAATGGAAGCATATTTTATACCTCTTACAACTATGGCAGGATTCTTAACCAAACAAAAGATAAAACTGATAACTTGAATTACAGGAAATCAAAAAGCTTCTACACAGACAAAGTTAATGCATCTAATAAGGGAAGCAATCAAACGGGACAAAAGTCTTTGTATCAGATTTCTCTGATGAGGGTTTGGTATTCAAAATATATAAACAGTTAACAGATATATTTAAGACTGGTAACTTTTCCTCTGTAAATAAGTAGTCTTAAGGATACGAACAAATAATTCTCAAAAGACTTGCAAAGTATTAACAACTACCTGAAAGATTGCTCCAAATCACTAATAACAAGAAAAATGCAAATCAAAATAACCCTGAGGTTTCATCTCATACCCTGAAAATTGGCAAAGATGATAACAGATGGCAATAGTCAGTGTTGGAAGGGTGGTCAGAAGATGGACACACTGGTATGTTGCAAGTGGAGCTGTGAATCAATACAATTATTTTGGAAAGCAATTTGGAATTATGCAAATAAAGGGACTAAAATGTCTATATTCTTTGACACAGGCATTCCACTGCTAAGCTTATACCCCAAGGAAGCTACTGATATGAAGAAAATTCTCATTTACAACACAATATTTATAGTACCACTTTCTATGCCCATATCCAGTTGCAGGTTGCAGTCCCATGGCCAAAATGAGCAATATCACTTACAGCTGCAGTGGGACAGGGGACCTAGTCAGTCCTAGAGCAGAAAGAAGAGCTTGTGAGGGAATAGGAACCCTGTTCTCAATTCCAAGACAGAGAGGAGCTCTAGCAATTGTTGCTGCAAAAGAGCAGAGGACACAGTCACAGTCCCATGGGCAAGAGTGCTAGTGCTTGTGGCTACATGGGAACATGATCCCTTCCTGGATAAAGACCAGGGCACAAGCCAGAGGAGCAGTGGCCACACCTCTACTTAGATCATACCACCTTTGAAGCACCAAAAACCTACAAACTCCCAGAGCTAGCTCTGAAATTAGGACCAATAAAGGCCTGAAGATTGGGACAGAGCCCCCTGCACTCCAAGAGCAGAGCCCAAATTTAACATAAAATTAAAGGACAAAAAACATGCTAGAAAAACGAACAAACAACAAGAAAAAAGAATCTGGCCATAGCAAGTTATTATGGAGAAAGAGAAAAATAAGTGCCATACCAATCAAACTACTAAAAAACTATTTTATAGAGTTAGAAAAAATAATGAGATTCATTTGGAAGAACAAGAGGTCCAGAATATCAAGGGAACTAATGAAAAGAAATGCAGGGGAAGGTAGTCTAGCCATTCCAGATTTTAAATTGTATTATAAAGCAATAATCATCAAAACTGCTTGGGACTGGCTAAGAAATAGAGTGGAATAGGTTAAGTATGCAAGACACAATAGTCAATGACTATAGTAACCTATTATTTGATAAACCCAAAGACCCCAGCTTCTGGGATAAGAACCCACTCTTTGAAAAAAACTGCTGGGAAAACTGGAAAAGAGTATGGCAGAAACTAGGCATTGATCAAAATCTCACACCATATATCAAAATAAAGTCAAAATGGGTTCATGATTTAGATATAAAGGCTGATACTATAAGCAAACTGGGAGAGCAAGGAATAGTTTACCTATCAGATTTGTGGAGAACTGAAGAATTCATGACCAAACAGAGAACATTATGAAAAGCAAAATGGATGACTTTGATTACATTAAATTGAAAACTTTTTGCACAAAGCCAATGCAACCAAGATTAGAAGGAAGGTAGAAAATTAGGAAATAATTTTTATAACCAGTCTGTCTGATAAGGGCCTCATTTCTAAAATATATAGAGAATTAAGTCAAATTTATAACACAAGTCATTCCCCAATTGATAAATAGTCAAAGAATATGATTAGGCAGTTCTCAGATGAAGAAATTAAAGCCATCTATAGTCATATGAAAAAATGCTCTAAATCACTATTGATTAGAGAAATGCAAATCAAAACAACTCTGAGGTACCACATCACACCTATCAGATTGGCCAAGATGACAAAACAAGAAAATGATAAATTTTGGAGAAGATGTGGGAAAATTGGAACACTAATGCATTGTTGGTGGAGTTATGAAATGATCCAACTATTTTGGAGAGCAATTTGGAACTATGTCCAAAGGGCATATAAAAATGTGCATATCCTTTGACCCAGCAATAGCACTTCTAGGGCTATATATACCAAAGAGATCATACAAATGGGAAAAGGGCCCCACATGTACAAAAATATTTCTAGCAGTTCTTTTTGTGGTGGCAAAGAATTGGAAATTGAGAGGATGTCCATCAATTGGGGAATGGTTGAACAAGTTGTGGTATATGAATGTAATGGAATGCTATTGTGATGTAAGAAATGATGAACAGGCAGACTTCAGAAAAAACCTGGAAAGACTTGTATGGACTGAGGCTGAGTGAAGTGAGCAGAACCAGGAGAATGTTGTACACAATAATAGCCACATTGTGCAATGACTAATATTGATAAACTTGACCCTTCCCAGCAATACAAGGATCTAAGACATCTCCAAAGGCCTCATGATGGAAAATGCTATCCACAAAGAAGAACTATGGAGTCTGAATGAAGATAGAAGCAAACTATTTGCTATTTTTTTTTCTTCTGTTGAGTTTTGTTTCCTCTTTCTGGTGGTTCCTCCTATTGGTTCTAATTCTTACTTAGAACATCACTAGTGTGAAAATATGCTTAATAGAAATGTATATGTATAGCCTATATCAGATTGTGCGCTGTCTTGGGAAAGTTGGTGGGGAGAAAGGGGGAGAAGAACTTTAAACTCAAAAGCACATGGAAGTGATTGCTGATAAATCAAAATAAATTAATAAAAAAAAGAGAAAGAGAAAAATAAGACACAAACCCCTAAGAAGAAGGCATCAAAGCAGTTACAAGCAAAGCCTTAAAGAAAAATGCAAATACAAACCCAACAAGAATTCCTAGAACACCTTAAAAAAGGTGGGGGGGGGGGATTTAAGTATCAAATAAGACCAGTGGAGAAAAGTTGGGGAAAGAAATGAGAGTAAACAAGAAAATTATGAAAAGAGAGTCAACAGCTTGCTAAAAGGAACACACACACACACACACACACACACACACCCCAAAAAAAAAACCTGAATAAAATAACACCTTAAAAAACAAAATAGGCCAAATGGTAAAAGAGGCACAAAAATCCACTGAAGAGAAGAATGCCTTAAAAAGCAGAATTGGCCAAATGTAAAAAGAGGTACAAAAACTCACTGAAGAAAAGAACTCCTTAAGAAGTAGAATTGGCCAAATGCAAAAGGAGGTACAATAGCTCACTGAAGAAAATAATTCCTTAAAAATTAGATTGGGCAAGTAGAAGCTAATGATTCCATGAGACACTAAGAAACAATAAAACAAAATTTTAAAAAGTGAAAAGTAGAAGAAAATGTGAAATATCTCATTGGAAAAACAACTGAACTGTTAAACAAATCTAGGACAGATAATTTAAGAAATACTGCACTACCTGAAATCCATGATCAAAGAAAGAGTCTAGACATAATATTTCAAGAAGTTATCAAGGAAAATTGCCTTGATATCCTTGAATCAGAGGGCAAAACAGAAATTGAAAGAATTCACTAATCATCACCTGAAAGAGTTCCAAAAATGAAAACTCCCAGGAATATTATACCCAAATTCCAGGGCTCCCAAGTCAAGAAGAAAATACTGCAGCCAGAAAGAAACCATTCAAATACTGTGAAGTCACAGTCAGGATCACATAAATTTTAACAGCTAACACGTTAAAGGAACAGAGGGGCTGGAATATGATATTCTGGAAGACAAAAGAGCTAAGATTACAACCAAGAATAACCTATCCAGGAAAACTGAGTATAATCTTTCAATGGGAAAAAATGGACAGTTCATGAAATAGAGAAATTTCAAGCATTCCATATGAAAAGACCAGAGCTAAATAGAAAATCTGACATTCAAATATATGACTCAAGAGAAGCATAAAAAGATAAACATGAAAGAGAAAACATAAGGAAATCAATAAGATTAAATGTTTATGTTCCTATATGGGAATATAATAATTTTAACTCTGAAGAATTTTATCATTATTAGAGAAGTTAGGCGTG